TTTCTCAGGCTGACCCACCCTTGGCTGCTACAAAATTGTGCTTCCCACCCTTCAGTCTCCTGTGAGGGTGAGGCATGCATAACTAGAGTTGCCTGGTTTGTGAAAACACATTAGTCTGAGTTAAATTTCTTGTAGCCAGTCCTGTTGGCTTGGCTCATTAAAGATGATAATTAACCCATTGCTAATTGACCTCAGAAGCCAGCCAAGCAACCTGTATTTTACCAGCCTTGGTGGTGGATTTGGACGCTATTTTAAGGTTTCTTAGTCTCAGCAAGACTTCACTTTCCTGTCTGCATCTTATTTGCTTTAAGGACATTCTGTAAAATTAACAAGCTATAAAATTTGATTGAAGGTTTCAACAAATGTGAGAATAATTGACTCCATTTAGAGAAACAAGAAAAACAACCTGTAAACTTCAATCTGTAGGGGAAAACCCGTGTGATTTTGCTCTTTAACCAAAGGAGCAGTAGCAAGCTGGACTTCTTAAGACCAGAAGAAAAGAACTAGCTGATAGTGAAAGTTTAAATTCTGATTCTCCCAAACCAAAAGTGCAACAAAAATAATATTGCAAATGACTAGCTGCTATAATCCTCATGCCTTCCAAGAAGCCTGTTTTGAGAAAACAGGGACCCAATAAAAAAATGGTGTGAGTCCCTGTTCCCTAGAGTTCTCATCCAGAGGCCTGGTTCAGCTCCCCAGCCCTCCTCAAATTCTCTGGCCAAATCTGGGGTTTTCTCTCTTCCTCAAGGCTGTTCTGAGGTGTTACACCATGCAACTCGGCAAACATCAGTATGCGATGCCTACTATGCAGCTCATTTTCTCTCTCACCCTTCCCTACCTTCCATAAGGCAGCATAGGTTTCCCTTTTCTCTTCCTCCCAAGGCATCTCTGCCTAGGCTTGGCTTGCCCTTGTGGACTGGTTGTGGAAAGTCACCAGTTTTCAGAGAACACCATTCTTCCTTACTTACCCACGTCTCCACCTAAGATGCCCCAGCCTGGTAGGCCGGTCTTGGCCTAGAGGTTTCTTCCTGCATTTCTCAGCATCTCACCTTCCCCTCGGCCTCACCCCCACTCTCCTACTGCCTACTCACAGTATCTCTCGAAGGAACTCAGCCTCACACAGGCCAGGGGACTACTATCACCTCTCCACATCAAACTTTCAGTTTCCCTTTCTGCTTGGTTCTTTGCTCTGGACCTGATTGGGGTGATAACTGGAGCCCTTGAAGCTCAAGGTTTCAGTTCCTGCCTTTGGGGCAAGCTGCCTCAGATGATCTTCAAGGGAAGAGAAAGGGGCTTTCTTTGGGTGCCTTTCTTTCAGCTGTTCCCTGACCTAAAGCCCCAGTGTTCTTTTCAAGGCTAAAATGATTCATGCGAAACAGTTTTGTCTATTAACTTTGTAGTTCTTGATAATCTGTGAAATGAGTCTCTCTTCCAAACAGCAAAGACTGACACCAGAAAGGTACACTAAGTCCCATGGTATTCTCCAACCAGCAACCCTTTACCCACTTCCAGCCCTAGTTCAGCCCCACCTATCACAGCCCAGAAAGGAAGCTGTTCCTGCCCAGCTCTTTCTTCTCTGGCGAATCTAGAGGTTTCCCAAGCCACAGTGTACATACCATTTTGCATTCTCTGCTTTTCATTGATACAGAATGGAAAAATGTGCTCATCAGCAGAATTATTGTGAGGATTATGTCACAGACTTCATCTGGACTCCTTTATTTCCAAGCAGGGAACCTAGCTTTAACCTCTCTCCTACGAGGAAGTCCTCCTTTACTAAGAAAAGACAGTGTTGGAGTTTGCTTTTTTGTTTGTTTTTGGTTTATTTGTTCCTTTTTTGAGACAGGGTCTCCTTTTTTTTTTTTTTTTGGTACCGGGGATTGAACCTCGGGTCCTTAGCTTGCAAGGCAGGCGGTGCTACCACCGAGCTAAATCCCCAGCCCAGAGACAAGGTCTCCTTATGTAGTTCCAGCTGGCCCTGAACTCATTATGTAGCCCGGGATGGTACCAATCCTCCTGCCTCAGCCTCCTGAGCACTGGGATTACAAATTTGTGCCACCACACCTGGCCTCAGAGTTTGCTTTTTGAAGATGGTTTGAAAGGCTTCTTTCATCTTGATGTCCCTTATTAAACATGTTAAACTGTTTTTGTTTCTTTTGTTTTGTATGGCTTTTTTTTTTTCTTTCTCTGATTCAAATGCTAGAGGCTTTGTGCAATAGAATATTCCCATAAGTCTCCCAAAGAGCTCCAGGGTCAAGAGAGCTATGCTTCCCCCATTGTAAGTTTACTTGGCTGAAGATAGGTGGTTTCCCTGTGTTCCTGTGCAAGCCCTGGATGGTCTGCCTCTCAGATTCTCCATCTCCTAAATAGCTCACTGTCCTCGTGCACTTTAGGAGCCTAAAGACTCTACACAACCTTGCTATTCTTGCCAGTTGGATTGCAAAGGAGAGAGAACATTCTTCCAAAAGACTAGGTGACTTTGCTCTCTTCAAATAGTATTGTTTTCAGATCTTTTAGCACCAACTCAGAGACCCCATGGATCAAAGCCCTTTTATCAGTCAGACAGGAGTGTCCTTGCTCTAGGGAAGGACTAATGGCGATAGCAGACAAAATCCCCAAGAAAACTAGCTTCCTTCTGAAGACATGGAAATGAAAAAGGGGAGGGTCCCATTCTGCTTGTCTCACCGTGTGTTGGACAATTCCCACTAATCCTCTAAGGATGTGCCGCAGGTCCGCTCAGGATGTCTGCATCCCCAAGTCCTGCTGTGCCCTGGAAATCCCCATCTCCAGGAGTCCCACGTCCACACATGTGGCCTTTCTCCTCCTTGGCCAGGAATCATACTTTCTTCCTGAGCCATGCTGTATACTATCCAGGTGTTCCTGCCTGCCTGTCTGCGTGCACACCCTCTGCCTCCTGGGAAGGTTTCTGGTGCAGATTCGGCAGGAGTGTCTGTGGCCCTCTTACCATCCAGGTGAGCCAAGGACCATCACAAACTGCTTCTCTGTCCCTGCCCCGTCACTCCCACCTCCTCTCCATTTAATGGCAGCAGCCTCATGCCAAAAAGGAAAGTCCTGAACCCATTACATAATTCTCCATAGTGCACGCAGTAGCTGGGGCATAAGGTCAGAGGTCATAGTGGGGTCAGGTGACTGACACACTCTGTAACGACAAGGTGGTTAAAATTAGACCACAGAGAGGAAACTGGCAGTCTTGTGGAAATGCAGAAGTTTCCTCTGCAAGTGAGAGGCTGGGGATGCAAGGAGGCCACTGTGCGTGCTGCCTGCCAGGCTATTACTCATTTCAGCTCTGTTCTTTAAGGCCTTTTAGCCCCTGCTTCTGTATTCTAGCCTTCCTCATCACATGTTTGAATGCACGCGATGGGACCGTGGTTACCTGCCCTAGCCCAAGCAGGCTTCCTTCCTTCTTTAAGGAGATAAGCCCAAGACCAGGCTCCCCAGGCTCCAGAGGCTATCCTTTTCTCTGAGCCTCTTCTGGGTAGGTGAGAACTTTTTAGGTCAGCCTCTTGGGTGGAGGTGGTCAGCATACTTAGCTTGAGATGCCAGTGTCTAGGCAGGGGAGGTGGTTGCAGAGAACGAAGCATGACTAGTGACTAGTGTGTGCCACAGTTTCCCTGGCCAACCACTGGCAGAGTAGTAATCATTTCCATAGTGTCTGGAGGACATGGCTTGTGCCTGCTTCAACTGTTGAATTCCCAGTGCCACCTAGTCTTTATATAAGTCTACTGTGTACGGAGCTTGTCCTTACAGCCCTTGCTGTGAGGTATGAAAAGTATGAGCTGTAGTCTGCCACCTTTGGAGTTGTTGTCCAGATGAGGGAAGTAACATGTGTAGCCATAAAACCACGAGTCAACAGCCAGTCTCTCCATGTTAGTCCTTCACTGCATGATGCAACATATCAGTCCCTTTCAAATTCAGAAATGAGGAGTCATCAAATCAGGAGCCAGGCATTCAGTATGAGGTGAATGAAGGGGCTGCCTCCTAGCCTGTCTCACCACTGCAGTGTGTTCCTATATGGAGTGACCCTTGTCTTCTGAGCTGCAGATAAACAGGGCCCTCTCTGTGGTGAGTGCCCCATCAGTAGGGAAGACAGGACCTAAGAGTCCAGGGAGGAAGAGAGGGGCAGCAGTGGGCAAGAATGGAAGTGGCCATAAGTAACACAGGCAGCACTGCAGGTAAGGGCATGTGTGGATAGTCTTTAGGGAGTACCCCAGACTGAATGGCTGTGGACACTTCATGAAACAATGACAAATTTGATGATTGCTCAAGGTAATAAATTTCATCTTAGCTACAATTTCATTGTAGCTTGTGTGAGAGCACCAGCATGTGTCCTGAGTGGTCACATGAGAGCAACTGATTTGAACCTGGCACAAGCAAAGCTTGGGTAAAATCTGCCCAACCCCAGTCTCTTGAACGTGAGAAGCTCTTAAATGCGCCAGGAACCTATCAGAAGGAGCCCTGAGTGACCTGGTTGAAACAAAACAGCCAAGAGAGAGCTCTGTCATTCATTTTTCACCCAGGCTGCAAGTTCTTCTGGCAAGAATCTGGAGCTAGAATGGGGGACAAGTGAAGAGCAGCAGCAAAAGGTGCCAGAAAGTGCCATTCTGTAACAACCAGTGTTCTGCACTCTATAACTCCTTCTACGGATTATATTCCAAACCTAGAAGAACTTAATTTATTCTTTTTTATATTAGGATTTTAGTAAAAGAAAAGCATAAGCCCTGAGGGCACATGGCATTGGTCATTGCATTGTCTGCTGCCCCAGGGATGACCTAAGGAGAGACCTTGGTGATGTCCTTCCTTCAGAAGACCTTGGTCTCAACCCTCACTCACCTCCTTACACATGCACACACATGCTTCTGCTCACTCCCTTCCTCCCAGTAACTTTGACACACTTCTCATGTACCCCACAGCCAACAGTGTCTCTCAGATTCATCTTCTCCTTCAGAAAACGGTGTTTTTCTTCTCTCCCTCTTGCCCTGTAGGTTATTGCAGCCGACTGCAAAAGGGTCACAGTGCTGAAGTATTTTCTGGAAGCCCTTTGTGGACAAGAAGAGCCTCTGCTGGCATTCAAGGGTGGAAAATATGTGTCAGTGGCACCCGTCCCAGACACCATGGGAAAGGAAATGGGAAGCCAAGAGGGAAAACAACTGGAAGATGAGGTACTATTCGGGAAGAGCCCGCTGTGGCAGAGGGAAGGCTCCCCTCCCCCCCACCCATGGCTGCAGCTTCTACTCAGGGTTATTTATATCCTCTCAGAGCAATGTCTGTGTTGACCTGACAGCCAGCTTCTCAAGAGTGCACTCTGCTGGTGCCTCTTCCTGCCAGTCCACCCCAGTGCCTCTATCTCACTCTCCTACGAGTTCCAGATGCTACTTTTTAATGTTGCATTGGAGGAGAAGGGAAAGAAAAAGTTTAATAATGTGCAGCTCTGGAGGCTTAGGAAAGGGAGTGGAGGGGAGAGGGTATTAGGGTTCAGGCTGAGGATCAAGTTTATAGATGTGTGTTGCTCAGCTCAGCACGGGCCTGAACTCCAGCCTCCAGCACACATACAGGAAAAGCTGACATTGCTGGCCCCGTGTGGAAAATCACCCCTCCCCTGGCCTATTCTCCTTCCCTTACTCCCTCCCTCCCTCCCTCCTGCACATCCTGATGTGATTAAGGAATTCTCATCTTGTTTGTTTGCCCTTAGTTGTTCCTGTAGCCCTTGCTTCACTCCATCCTCTGAGTTTGTGTGTGTTTGTGTTTACACGTGTGTGCATAAGCCTGTGTACCCACCCCTGCAAACAACCTCATTGGTAGTTGCCCTGCTATGCATGTATGTCTTTACGGGTGGGGAGTGTTAATGTGGGTCTGTGTGTGCTCGGTTTATATGTCAGTTTAACTGAACATTGCTGCCAGCTCTCTTGCTGTCTGTGGGTTCTAAGTAAATGTGAGTGTGTGTTGGTGTCAGAGTATATATGCATTTAGCATCATCCCAGCCTCTCTGCTGTGTGTTTGGGTGTGGGTAACTTTGGGCATATGCACACCTCACTTTTGCCTGAAGGTTGACTCCTTCTTTTTACTCCACAGTGTGAAAGACAGTGGGAACTTAGGTGGGAAGGAATGTGGGACTGAGAGCAGGGACGGAAGCAACTCTAGCCAGAGGCCAGGTCACCCATAGGCCAACACAGTCATTTGGCCCACGGCAGTCTCAAGCACCCGGTGGAGCAGGGCGGGGTACAAGGATGAAATCAGCAACAGGCCAAGGAAGCCAGATGTCAGCTGGAAGCTGTCATTCAGGATTTAAGGCAGTGATAGAGTGGCCACCTTTGGAACAGAGTCTTCTAGCAGCAGAATCTTAGGCTGGCTTTATTAGGATAGCTGGAGAATCCACCCCACCCCTGATGACACAGGGCTCAGCTTCCAGGAGAGAAGTAGTTCCAGGGATATAGCTGAGCCCATGATTCCAGACTCTCCAAATGAAACCTGGGCAGGAAATAATGGAAAAGAATGAGCTGTCAGCATGGGAGGAGGCAGTGGAGTTGCTAAAGGCAAGGGGTTGTCCAGGCTTTGGGTGGACAGAGTAGTCACACCACATCCCTGGGCGCCGTGTGAGAAGCAGGGACAGCACTGTGGTCTGTTATCTGACCCACACTGGAAAGCTGAGGCAGGTGATGAAGGGGTTTAACAAGACTACCTCTCCAGGATTTTCCATAAGAGATGTCCTTAGGCCATTGGAATCCACAGCACAAGCCCAAATAGGCCTCCCTTCTTCCAAGGAGCAAACCAGCTCTCTAGTCCCAGAACTTGACTATGCCACACACTCTCTCTCTCCTCAAGCTTACTGAGCAGACAAAGGTTGTGACCCACGCCAGGCTGCCCACTTCTTCCTTTTCCCACGAACCTCCTGGGTTCCTTTATGTTAGTGGCCCCTGGGAAACCCTGCTTACCCTGGTCTGTGTAATTTCATAACCCTTCACTTCCTCGTTTGCTGTGAGAGCTTCGAAAACCTCAGACAAGCTTCTATGACCGTCCTTTGACCTCAGTCCAGCTCCCTGAGGGCCCATGATAACCCTGCACATGTCTAGTCAGAGTACACAGGGGCACCATTCCTCACAGGCCTGGCAGGCATTCTGTTCCACTTGCTCCTGTCCAGGTTAACCCGTTGAACAAGGAAGGGAATGTACACAGTATCCCTCTTTCCCATGACCAGAGGTTGGCAAATGAGTGGTGACTGTGAACAGACCCCTGAGACCTCTCAGTACAGTAGCAGTTTTAGCTCATCTTCAGATCTCATCTCTACTACAAGACTAAGTCACTGAAGCTGATAGGAAGAAGTGGGGATAATGTTTCTTCGGGCATCCTTCTTTATGAACAGAACAGAGTCTAGTTCCTTAGGCATGATACAGAACTACCCATCTTCCTTCAACCCTGCTGTCCTCCTTCACCTACCCACTCACTCTACTTCCACCAAGAGAATCCCACTTAGAGGAGAGAGCAGTCTGGGCTGAACAGGTCTAGGCCTGGCAAAGCTGAGCCACTAGGAACCGAATCTGGGCTTTCTGTCTTGATTCAGGACCTCCACCGTGTGGATTTGTTCATTATGATGACAAGAGCACAGACTTTGGAGCCAGACTTATTTGGATTTGAGTCCCTGCTCTGTCCTTTATTATATATGCAACCTTAGAGGTTGTTTAAACTCTGGTTTGTTCATTTATAAAAATAAGGTTGGTAATAACACCTATTTCATAGGCCATTATGAAAATAAAAAATGCCACTATATGACCAATAAGCAGCCCTAAGCATGATAGCTGTTGCTATAGTTATTATCATCCTGTTAAAATCACAGGATTCTTCTGCTGAATCACTCCCCATGTACCCCTGCTAACCCTGTCCCTCAAAGGAAGCTCTCTTGGGCAGCTGCATGTTTTCTGTTGACCAAGGCCAAAAGTGAGAGAGTAAAGAATGGAGCAGGGACCACCCGGAGAGCAATGGCTGCTGAGAGCTGAGGCTGCAGTGGGGAGGTGCCATCCCTGGGGAAGGCTCCACCAGCCTGGCAAGAGGTTCCTTAAGCTAGCCAGCCCCCTCCTACCCTGCCCAGGCCCTGGGAGGGCAGCTGAGCAAGGCCATGTCATGTGAATTCCTGTAATAAGGCCCAGCAGTCCCCACACCACCAGGCTGTGGTCTTAAAAAGAAACCAGGGCAAGGTCTGCTGAGCTACAGCATCTGCTTCTGACGCTGTCTGGGCCAAGGGAGCTTCCTTGCCTAACTCCCAGCTGTTGACCAGAGCTGAATCCTGTCAGGTCATTAGCATGAATTAGATTAAAATTGGGTGGTTTAACTTTCTCTGTTATTTACCCCTTGAATCATTTGTGACTTCAGAATGAAAATAGGCCCAACCTTTGACTATGAGTGTGTTCAGGGAAGAAAAAGGAGTGTGAGTACAAGCATGTAAGTGTACATGTGTGATTGTGAATGACTTAGGGTGTGCGTGTGTAAGTAAAGAGCCCTAGAGTGTGAAAAGGAGCAGTGAGGGAAAATATGACTACTCACCACTCCCCTTTTCCTGAATAAGGGAAGCACATACCATAGGACCCTTCTCAAGGAATGGTCCCAGTCAGCATGGAGTGGGGACTTTAAAGGAGAGAGGGTGGATTCATTAAGTCCGTGGGCTCACAGTCGCATGCTATATTTCACCACCCAAAGGAAGAAGACGTGGTGATTGAAGACTTTGAGGAAGATTCAGAGGGTGAAGGCAGCGGAGGCGAGGATGACATCAGGGAACTTCGGGCCAAGAAGTTGGCTCTAGCCAGGAAGATAGCCGAGCAGCAGCGTCGCCAAGAAAAGATCCAGGTGGGGACTGCCTGGGGAGGGCGGTTGACATCAGGGTGGTGGCTGTACAGGACATGAGGGGATATGGACAGGCAGTAGGAGCAAACAGGACTCTCTCAGCAAAAGTCTCACAGTGTTCTCTCCAGCTGTACCCCACCATTGTCTTACTCCACCATTACATTCTAATACTGTGTCTCTATCCCTGGCGTCTCCTTCATCACAGGCTCCAAAGCAAAGACTGAGTCTTCTTGGAGAATCTGAAGACTTCTCACTCTGTAAGGCTGTATCAAGGACACTGCACATAATCTTGCATGCAACCTCAGGGCTTCAGATTTCCCCTGTACCATACCAACATACTCATGGAGAGTACCTCTTCTCAGGAGGAAAGAGAGGGTACCATAGCTGCAAGCTAATAATGTGGGTTCCCATGTAATGGAAGAGCCCCTTCTGGACAAGGTACTCTCCACACCTTCCCAAAGAGAAGCTACCTCATCTCCAAGCAGGGGATTCCCCCACTCTCAGTCTTCTCAGGGGACCCAAACCTTCCCTTCCAGGAATTTTTTTTTTTTTGGTACTGGGGATCGAACTCGGGTCCTTGTACTTGCGCAGCAGACGGCGAAACCACTGAGCTAAATCCCTAGCCCATCCAGCAATTTTTTTTCTCTGTGGCTTTCCCAGGCCTTTCCCCTTGCACTATATGCCTACTTCTTATCTAGGGCTCAAAGCAGACAGGAAAGAGCCTCCCTTTAAAGACAGCTGTGTGCACTGGTAAGCATTAAGCCATCCTCCTCAGCATCTCTAGGGATACCTATTTTCAGCTCTCCCTTCAGCTGCCCCTCCTAGGCATGGTGTTTAGTGCAGGTGGCCCTACTCACTGCTTCCATGTCTTGACCGCCAACCCAGTAGTTGGAGAAACTTGTACCAGAAATCACCAAGGACCCATCTTGGACCCCAAAGCTCCCTTCCTCCAGTTTCCTTCCTCTTATAAGTACAAATGAATGACATTGTCTTCTCTGCTAACCAGACTACCACCCTCCTGAGCTTTCTCATCGCCCTTTTTTGTTTTGTTTTGTTTTGGTTTTTTTGGTCTCCATCCTTTTCTATTTTTTCTTAATCTCAGCAAGCTGAGTTGGTGTTTTGTAAGTGTTTGTATGTGGTGGCTTCACAGATGGTAACCAGTAGAGCATCATCTTAAACTTCATCTTGGCTATTTACCCCTCCTGTCCATTTTTTTTATCAGATCCTATCTATTCACTCATTTACTCCCTCTTCTCTGCCCTATTCCCATTGCCACTGCTTGCCTAGTTCAAAGGCTTGCTTTGATTGTGGCTCTCAAGGCCCTTGCATTGCACAGCTTCAGGGAAGGCCATTGACCGTAGCCTGTGAATGGCCCCTCCTAGAGTTGTGTAGTTCACAGTCTGACCATCTGGCTCCTGTTTCACCTTCCTACCTCCAGTGCGTTATTCTGTTCCCAAAAGAGCTACTTCCCTGCTCAGAAATCATTGATGCTTTTTCTTGGCTAGTAAAATAAAGTCTAATTTCTTCTGTGATATCGACGGCCCTCTGATATATTCCTTGACTGTTTCTCCAGCTTCTCCCATTGTCACATCCCCATGAGCCACTGCTGGCCATATGACCCCAGGCAAAGCCTGCTTCCTCATCTGTGAAACAAAAATTGTATAGCACCTGTCAGAGTTGCTAGAGGCCTCAGAATGAATGACAGTGTGAACTAAGTGGCCAACTAACTAGTCACTAAGGCCCTCCTGCTTGGGGGAGTAACACTAACTTTCCTCCCTGCTCACCACCCCTAGATGTGTGTTACCTTTTCCCATTCTCTGGTCTTTGTGATACTGTCCCTCAAACCAAACTACTCTTTTTCTGCTCCACATTTCCTGTTACCTGTTGAAATTCTATTCCTCCTTCAGTTGTCAAATGAAACTCCACCTCCTCAGTGAAGCCTTTCCTGATTCCCCCCAGGAGAAATTCATCTCTCTGTTCAGTGTTCCTGTAGTGTTGATTTATGTTTCATTTGAGGAACTGCTATCATGTCTCATATTACAGATATTTCAGGGGTTTCCCCACCACCACCATACTATGAACTCCTTGAGCTCAAGGACCATGTCTTCAGCTCATTTTAACAAGTGGTGTTCAGCATTAAACATGCTGGTGGCTGGGGGACACAGAAGTGAACAAAAATATCATATCCCAGAGTATACCATGTAGTAGAGGGGCCAGTCTTAAGCAAGTGATTAAATATGTGAGCAAGTGTTATTTTTTTTAAAAATACGGAATGCTGTGGAACCAAATGCTACATGGATCTATCCCTGTCCAGAGTTCTGTGTCCATGCTGGCCTCTCCAGCAACATCCAGTACCCTAATAATTGGAGGTCTAATGACTTCTAGTGCCCTGGGTGGCCCTATTCGGGAGGTCTGTTCCCCCCATCATCTCCTTCAGAGGAGGCTGCTTAGGCCTTGGCCTTAAGGGCCTGCTCTAAGCTGTTGAAGCATAGGTTGATGTGGCCCCTTTAAGAACAGGCCCCACATGCACTGCTGCTGGCGGCCCTGCCTCCTGTCAGCCTCTTTCCTCCAGCCTCACAGCCACAGGAGGATTTCTCAGCAGAGGAAAAATTCCCCCTTTTCCTCCCCCACCCCTTTAATGCCCGGGGCCCTTCACTTCCATAATTCTTCATTTTCCAGCCTTGAACGTAAGCCAGACACATCTGTCTGGCCATATGCGTGAACCCTGGAGTCTGTGCCGAGGTGGCTGTAAAACAGGGCCGGTGAAGGCCCTTCTGGGAGAGCACACACATGTGTGTGCCCTCGGGCCATTGGCTCCCTGCCCAGAACCACGGGGCTTCAGCGCGCCAAACCCATGTTAACCTTCTCCATTTTTCCTCTTTTTGTTTAATTTAAGGGGGGAAAATCCCAAGGAAAAGGTATAAATTGTCCTGGGAGTGGAGGAGAGGCTCCTAGCTAGAGAGGCCATTATTGTTGGCAGGTACCTGGGTCACACTAATACAATAAGGAAGAAAGGAGAATCAAAGATCGGAGAGATGGGCTGTAAATTACACTGCTCTAAACTCCACCAGTCTCCAGGGTGTTAACCTAGAGGTGTAAGGCAAGTCCCCACTTCCCAGCGCCTTTTACAGATGCAGCAAAACAGGAACCACACATGTTTGGGGAAGGGGATATGAAGATGGGGTTGAACAAAATCCCCTTGGCCCCCAAGGTGGCTATAAAGTCCAAGTGAGATCTGGGGCTGTAGCCACACCCCCACTTCCCTGCTCCCACCTAGACCCCTGGGTCTCAGCTCATCTGTGAGGATGGGGGAGGTAAGGCCTGGCCTCCCTCTAAAGTCTGTCCCTCCCTGCTTCCGGCGTTGCACAGAGGCTGGTGAATGGGGCCGACTGGAGGTCAGAAACGGGCCGTGGGGAGCTCTCGGGACCTGTGCAGCTGGAGCTGCAGCACCTAGGCAGGCCCCTAGATGTTGGGGGTGCCAAGTCCGCCTACCCGGGGCTTTGAGGCCACACTTTGCAGCTCAATCCAGACTTTTCCTTGTTGCCTGAGACAGCTCTCCGTATTGGGCTTGGTCCTGCTTACCATAGTGCTTTCCGCCTGAGTTCTTTTCATTCCCATTGCCTTCTTGGGAGGTGTCCAGAGACCAAAGCAGGGTACATGGTTTGTCTGGGAAATTGGTCAGAAGTGTTTCATTCCTAACCAGGCCCCCAGGGCCAAGTAGTCACTGAAAATCCTCCTCCAGGCATGAGGTGTGGCCTCTTGGCACCTAATACTGGCCCAGGCCTGTGAATCCCCCGCCTTCTCCCTGCCTCCATGAGTCTGTGCTGTGATTTGTGCTGCTGTCGGGCGGGGTCAGGTTTCCTGAGCAGTTGCAAACATCCCACCTGAAACATAACAGGCTCTTCCTCTGGCCACAGCTATTGTTTCCCTTTGCATTATGGCCACAGTCTTACTCTGTAGCCAGCAATGACATGTGTTCTGAAAATAGCTTCTCTCCCCTGTCCCCTTCCCGCCCACCCACCCTCCTGAAGATGCAGTCAGTCCTTTGTGGTGGCCCCAGGAGTTTTACTCTAAATATAGCCACAGTTCATTCACACTGCCACCCAGCTTGGGGGAGGGAGGGTATGTTGTGGAACAATGGGGTATGCACAGAGCCCCCCACACCTGTATGGAAAGCTAGCGGAAGGCAGACACTCAGCCCTGGCTCCTAGCTGTCGGAGGCAGGGTGGGAGCCAGCAAACTACCAGTCCAGGGGCACGTTCACGCCAGGGCAGGAAAGCACATCAGCCTGTGAAGCTGGGCACCACCCAAGCCCACTCCAACTTCTCCACATACCATGGTGCTGGGTCTCCTGTTTGCTCCAGCTGCTCCCACCTACCTCACTGGCTCCAGCAGCATCCAGTGTCCTGTCTTCCCTCATAGAATGCTCTGGCTATTGGCTGAAACACCCTTACACTGCTGCTTGAAGCAAGCTCAGAGATGTCATCCTTGGCTCTGCTACTCCCTCCCCATAGGAAAGGGAACACTTCTTTGGCTTTTTTCAGAACAAGCTTTATGTATTAAAATTGTATCAGAGTATCTTAAAGTACTCTTCAGCTCTGAGACTGTGATTTAGTTCATCAAACTCCTGTAATACATCAAGCTCTATAGGTATTATAAAAGAAATTCCCAAGTGGGCAGTTCTTTTTCAACACCTTACAATCTAGTTTGAAAATAAGATCACGCCTCATAAAACAAGAAATAGCAAGCAGGTTGTTACTTGCTCTTTTTTTTGGTACCGAGGATCAAACTTGGAACCTTGCGCTTGCAAGGCAGGCAGCGAAACCACTGAGCTAAATCCCCGGCCCGCAAGCAGGTTGTTACAATTTTTAAAAAGAAGGCAGGAGCTAGGCATGGTGGTATATGCCTTTAATCCCAGCACTCTGAGAAGCTGAGGCAGGAGATTTGAAAGTTGAAGCCGAGTTTAGGCAACTTAGCAACTTTGCAAAACTTTTTTTGTTGTTCTTTTTTTTGGTACCGGGGATCGAACTTGGGACTTGGTGCTTGCGCAGCAGGCGCCAGAACCACTGAGATAAATCCCTGGCCCTTTTGCAAAACTCTTGAAATAAAAAATTTTAAAAGAGCTAGGGATGTAGGTCAGTGTGCATTACCCCCCCACACACACACACAAAAGCAATACATGTTAAGCTTTATGGTACTTTTGGACATCCAGAAAAGGTATTCTAAGCAGCAGTTTTCCCATTAGCAGTGCATGCAAATGAAGATGTCTGCCAGGGATTTAGTTCAGTGGTTTCGCCGCCTGCTGCGCAAGCGCAAGGATCTGAGTTCGATCCCGGGTACCAAAAATGAAGATGCTAACACTGATACTCCCAGGGGAGTTCTGCCTGCTTTCTGTAACCAGTGCATTGTCTGCGCCCCTTGGTTTCTGCCTGTGATTATGTACCAACTATCCCTTTTCTTTTTAAAGGCCCCACCCTTTTTCTATTTATATTCACATAGCTTTTAAAAATCAATAGTATTAGGCTGGGGATTTAGCTCAGTGGTTCCACCACCTGCCTCCCAAGCGCAAGCTCCCAAATTTAATCCCTGGTACCAGAAAAAAAAAAATCAATAGCATTCCCCAGGTGCAGTGGCACACACTTACAAATCCCAACTACCAGGGAGGTTAAGACAGGAGGATTGCAGGTTCTAGAGCAGTCTGGGCAATGCAGGGATGCCCTGTCTTAGACAGATAGATAGATAGGAAGGAAGGATAATACTATGAACTTTTTTAAGAGGTAGAGTCTCCCTATATTGCCCTGGCTAGCCCTGGACTCTTGAGTTCAAACAATCCTCCTGCCTCAGCTTCCTGAATGGTTGGGCTATGGGTACATGCCACTGCACCTACCTACTATGAGTCACAAATAGAAATCAGTAGTTCTCTGTCCCACCCTCCCCATTCCCAGTGCTATCCCCTATTGGTTTTCTCAGATAGTTACCCTCCTAGATATATAGGAAGTGAAAGAGAGAATTAGGAAGAAAGGAAATTGATGTTTATTACTAATACGTGTGTCAGGCACTTAGCTAGGTACTTTCACATACAAGGTGAATGTGGAAATATACTATGTCACAAAACCTGATTTCTGGTGAAGACTTTGCTCTGCCAGAGGGGCCTAGGGATGCATGATTCTATCACCCTGTAGAGGGAAGGAAACAGTCACATTCCCTCTGGAGCCCCTGAGTAGAAGGAAAACCTAAAAAAGGCCTTTTCCTGGTCTGACCCTACTTCATGATCTGGGTTCTCTAAGCTGCACAACTTCTGTGTCAGCTCTTTGCATTGCTTTTATTTGTAATCCTCAATGTCTGAACTTTTAGTGGGTCAGCATTATAAAAATCATTCCTACTGCATAGAAAAGAGAACTTAACCTGTGAGGTCCTTCCTAAGGACCCAAGCCTATTAGCTTCCTCTTTAGGTATATATGTATGTATGTATGTATATCTTTCCCCAGTCTCTACCAGCTTGCTCCAGGAAGCTCCTATACCTCAGAGAAAGTTGGTTACTTGGCACCTTCCAGAAACAGAACTAAGTTCTTTCTCTCATTCTTTATACCAGTATGAGCCTTACTGCCACCAGTCTAATTTGGAGAGCCTGCACTTTCCTCAGGTTCCCAGTGCAGTCTGAGGACCAGAGTGTCCCAGGCTTAACTGCCATCAGAAGGATTCCTGTAGAACTCTCCTTCCGGGTCAGCACATTTGACTCCAGGCCAGGGGCAATCTGTCTGAATCTCAGCATTCCAATTGTGCCCCCCTCATTCCACCATAGGCTTGTGCAGCGTTTTGTGTTTTTTTTTTTGTGGTACCTGGGATTGAGCTCAGGACCTTGGGCTTGCAAGGCAGGCAGCGGAACCACTAAGCTAAATCCCCGGCCCTTGCAGCTTTTTACTCATACAAACAAAAATAAATCTCACTACCGGCCTCTGAACTCCACAGCAGCATGCTTCTCCCATCTTCCCAAGTGTCCTATGGCTATGAGTTGGGACTTGGCACTCTCCCCACAGACATCACTTTTTCACTCCCTGCGCATCCTGTGTCCTTCTTTCACCATGCAACCCAGAGGTTGGAATGGGACGTGACAGCCAGCACAGGCGCTGTGCACAGCTGCCAGGAATCTTGACGGGTAAAATCTGGAAAAGTTGGGAGGGCAATTGCTATCCACACGTAACACACAGACACAGACACACACACACAGACACACACACACACACACACACACACACACACACACACACACACACACTCTCTCACTCAGTGCACCACTGAGAAAGAGCCGGAAATATGAATGTCCGTAGAAGAGTACCTGGGGACTCTCAAGCCCTCTTTGGTCTGCCATTCTTTTTAAGGGAACTGAGCCTGTCTCATGACCCAGGTATGACTTTCCCCAAGACCTACTTGTACCCCAGAAGAGGAGGTACAGCTTCATCTAACCTCCTGAGATTCTGTGAGGGCATGTGGAGAACAGGAAGCAGTTGTGTGGTGACTCACTGGGCAGAGCCAGGTTAAGGGAAGTTGTCTGCAGGCATCCCTTGGACCGGATGAGGGCAGCAGCCTAGCTTCCACCACCCACACACAGCTTGACCCTACCCCATCCCCAGGGAAGCCAGCAAGGTTGCCACCTTCCTAAGAGTCCCTGGCCAGTTCACCTTTCTGGCCACAAGCCAAAGTCTCAAGAACCCAGAGAAGTTAAAGCTTCCTTAGACTCTGCTCCTAGATTTTACTTCTGTCCTGTCATAAGAACACCCAAGTAGTCTTACTTTGCCCCAGCTGCCTGGTTTTAACAGCCCTCCTGCCTACTGCCAGCATAAAGGTAGGGCGATAGAAAATTTTAGGAGCTGTTTACACAGGGCAAAAAATGGCAGCCAGTTCCACTTCTTTCATGGAGTCGAACCAGGGCTGTTGTGTCATGTCTCAATGCAGGAATACAGATGTGAGAATAATGGCAAGTACTGAGCAAAGTTAGGATGTCAGTCCTTGTCACTACAGATGTCAGTGTCCTCCATCCTCCTCAAAACAGATGGTAATGCTTATTCTGTCCCCTTACCCAGAAAAACAGATTTAGGACCTAGGGAGGCAGAAAATGTCCTAGCAGCAGAAAAGCAATACAGTGAACGGAAGCCTGGGGAAAAAAAAAGGAGGAGGAATGTTAATGCTTCTCTGAAAGAAGGGCAATGAGTTGGTCACTAAACCTGAGCAGGATCATTTCCTGTTCTTCTGAACTGCCCAAGCCAAGATTGGTGGAGTGTGTGTCACCCTCTCCTTGGCAGCCCTCTGGGGAGGGGAGTTGACCCGAGTCCCTTGGGAAGGTGGCCTACAGCAATGGTACTTTCCCCTCATGGCGTGAGATCAGTAGGAAGACTTCAGCAGACTTCAGCAGCATTTCTCATGCTACCAGAGTCCCTTGGTCTATGCCTTCTACAGCTGTGGTGGCAGTGGCAGTAAGTTTACTCATAGGGAAAGGTCCCTGGCAGGTCACAGAGGAGCCACCCCCATCATTTGAAGACATGCCCTTTCAGTTTTACTGTCACTGTCAGTGAAGCCTGAGCAGCCTCCTCGCTGACTGTTTATGGGCACACCCGGCACCGTGGGCCCCAACTCAGTTGGCACGCACATATATTCTCCCAGCACCATACCCAAATCTGTGTCCATGTATTTGTGTGGCAGAAGGCCATGAGAGGGCATGAGGGTGCTGGCTCCTGCTAGCCTTCCCTGCCAGGTTTATGTTGGTCCCCATGGATTTTACTCAGGGAGCACAGCTGTCTTGGCAGGTACCAGATCAGTTTGCTTCTTGCCCATGATCCTCAGAAGAAACCTGTTGTGTAGTGACAGATATACCCAGAACCTAACCCAATAGCCTATTGCTGCACATGTAAGACTGTCAGATGTGAGAACATTGGGCTTTCACAGATGTGCATGGAGCTTCCCTGAGAGATGTGACAGCTATGGAACAGAAAGCCCTGGGCCCTGTATTTTCTGAGGGCTGAGGAGTGGTGCACAGACCATTGGTGCCACGTGCAATGATTTTAAGTGGTACCTGTGAGACACTTTTTTATTATGGCAATTCAGCTTGCACTGGTAAACATATGAGTAGGGTATCAATTCCCCGATATCAATGCTGAAAAAGGCTAAGGAACTTAAAGTCAATATAAAGAAAGACATGAAGTCAATGATAGTATCCCTTGTACAGGATTGTGGCAAAGGAGCAAAAGTAAAACAGAAAAAAGACGTATAGGAAGTACCACACCAGGCAAGGGAAGAGTGGTGACAACCGTTCTGATCAGCTCTTTGCACGTGTGAGTTTTGTCTTAACTCATCTCACTTGCATAGACTCCTGCTGCTGCAAAAGACTAGTTATTACTGGTCAGCTAATACCCATGTTTTTTACATTGCCTTGGGTTTAATTTTGGGTTTGTGTTTTTAGTGTGTTTGTTTGTTTGTTTAAATAGTGAGGTAAATTGAAATAACAGGTTCTATTAATAAATGCTGGATGTGTACAATCCCCACACTGAGGAAACTGAGGCAAGAGGATCACCTTGAGTTCGAGGCCAACCTGGACTCCATAGTGAGTTCAAGGCCAGCCTGAACTATATAACGAGACTCTGTCCCCCAAAAAAGATACTGATAAGTGCCTGGATTGAGAAGTACTTTTGTATATGCCACCTGGATAACTTATATGAAACCACTTTCATACCTAAGGAACTTAACTCTCCTCTCTTGATTTTTAGCCCAAATCCTACTTTCAGAAAACTTATTTTCAAGATTGTCAATATCTTTTCTCAGTCTTAGGCAGGATTTAGTGATTCCCCCATCTCATGGGCCATTTGGTCTGTGTTCTGCTCAAAGCTTTGCTGGGCCTCAGGCCCGCCAAGGAAGAGGTGCCTAGGAGCAGGATGCTGATGCTGATGCAGTGTCAGTCAGGGGCCCTGACTCCACCATTTGCTTGCTTGCTCATTTACTGTCTGGCTCCCTCACCATTCTGTGTCCCTATAGGCTGTCCTGGAGGACCAGAGTCAGATGAGGCAGATGGAGCTGGAGATCAGACCCTTGTTCCTCGTACCAGACACCAACGGCTTCATTGACCACCTGGCCAGTCTGGCACGGCTGCTGGAGAGCCGGAAGTACATCCTTGTGGTGCCCCTCATTGGTGAGCCCAGCAGGAGGGCAGAGCAGCCCTCCATGTGTTCAGCAACCCCCTCCACACGTGCCCCATGCCTAGGGCCAGCCAGGCAGAGCCCCGCTGTGCGCGTGTAAGACAGGATTTGCAGGGATGTAGGGAATGCGTGGGGCAAGGAAAATTGTTTAATAATCAAAGCAGTTCAAATTATTATGGCTGATCCATGGCTTAAACTGCTTGAGCAAATGGACTCCTGTGTCCCAGCAACCAGAGGCTGCATGAGCCCAGCCCTTGTTTTTATCCTTATAAAGCTTGCAGTAAAACAGCAAAGCTGGTTCCCGTTATTGGTAAACACTCAGCCCTGGCAGATAACGGCAGTGCTGCTGGGTGGTCTGGCAGGGAGGCTGGGAGGATTTTGAAGTGGTTAGATGCCTTTGGTCTGATTGTCTTGTAGCTTTTCATGATCGTTCTGTTGGTTCGAGGTAGCATTCTTTTAGCCAATGTCACCCTAAGGCCAGGCTGATGGGAGCCCTCCAAGAGCATGCCCTTGACTCATGCCTGTGGATTTCTACCTCTTGGATGCTTACCGCCATCTGGTCATTGGTGCTGGTACAGGATCAGCCTCTCAGGACCCAGTGAGCTTGCTTTTCCACCCTCTGGCCGAAGGAGGCCAGCTGGGCTGCCTCCAGGAGACAGACTGGGCACCCTCAATTCCTGGAGCTCTGTGGTGGGTCATCCTCAGAGTGGACTTTGGGCTCTGGGCTCTTGTCCAATATAGTTGATATAACTAATACAGCTGATGGCTATACTGTGGAGGCAAAGGGTCTGGGAGTTGATTGTGAAGCCCAGACTTTTAAATGTCCCCCTTCTCTGCAGCCACTTAGAATAAGTTTGAAAGTCCTGTCCTCTGGAAAAGCCACCAGACTGGCAGTCTGCCTGCCAAGCCACCTCTGACATCTATGCCAAGATGTTCTAGTGGGCCTTCCCTCCCAGTCCCAAATGTCTTAGTGCCAGATGGGGGTGGAAACAAAGGGCAGGAAACATCCACCCCTGCCGAGCCTGTAGAACCCTGGGGGGTTGTGGGAAACACGTTAGCACCACCTGAGAATGTTGGCGCTGAAGCAGCCCTCCTCCCTGCCTCCACCCTCCCAGTCTTCCTTCCCCCTCCCCATGTGGCCAGCCTGGCCAGAACCTTTTAAACCTGGGTCTTTAGACCTAAGGGAAGATTTTCTGTACTTCAGAAGAGAGCAAGTGCTGTCATTAAGGCAGAGCAGCAAGACTATCATGTTGTCCTCGCTTCCTGCTTCCATCCCTGGGTCCTGGGGTGGGCTACATTTCAGAATATGTCTCTGAACTCTGACCCAAGAGGTTTTCAAAGGAAAGGAAAAATGAACTTTTGTTTTTTTGCTGGATGGTCAGGAAAGATCCAACCAAGAGTGCTTGCTGACATCTCTGGAGCCCCCCTGAGATCCCAAAGGTGCCTCAGACACCTCCCCAGGGTAGCGAGGCTCTTAGTCACCAGCACCGATTGTGCCCCTATTGTGTGCTCAGACTCCTTATTCCCAAGAGATCCACCCCTTGCTCTGAGGAACTTGTAGTTTTACTAGAAAAATCCAAATTTGGTGGGGAGGGAACAGCAACAAAAAACTGAGGATACATACAGAGCAAAGTAGATGACCCTCAAGGGTACTCAGAACTGATAGCTCTGTTGTACACACAGGCCAGCCTCTTCGAAGAGGGACGTTCCTATTCACAAATGCTTTCCTTGATAGTCTCTGTCCTATGCCCAGAGCAGCAAAGGGTTAAGCTGACAGCCTTCCCTGCTTGTTTCTTGTGCTCTTTAACCTTCTCTGTGCTTCTTAGGCCTGACCCCAACATTGAGAAGTCCCGCCTGGTGCAGAAGCACAAACAAGCTTCTCCTTTGAAGCCTGTTTAGTTTGGAAGCAGGAAAGCAGATTTTGGGATAGAATACCAGTTTTTCCTGTTTGATGTTCTGTTTGCTGTACCATCCACCCATCTACCATTATTTCCCTAGCCTCAGCCATGTATTGTGTGGACATGGCAGCCTCAGGTTACTGATAGTATGGGCATCGTGTGTGTGTGCATATGTGTGTGTGTGTGTGTGTATTCTCACATGAACCCTTTCCAGAAAATGTCTCTGAATACCCAGACAATGAGTGCCAGGCTCACCATGGAACAGCATGCTCATGTCGCTTCCCCAAGCCATGAATCATTGTACTAAGAAGAGGCCTCAGACCCCAAACTCTCCCGGAGCCCCCAAGGAGTGCATATTTCCCACTTGACCTCAGGCTTTTGGCTGGAATTTTGGAAAGAATCTTCACCAGAAAATGAAGCCGTGTCCCAGACACATAAGCAGGCAAGCACACACACACACACACACACACACACACACACACACACGTGTAGTATCAGTGAGGTAATGTGCCAAGGATATGTTTTTGAGGAATACCAGGGCCCTTGCAAGTAAAGCTATGACTGCCCTTCCTCTGTGGTGACTTCCCTGCACTCTGCCAGAGGGGTTGGCTGGAGGACTTTGGCCTCTACTTGATTGGAAGCCCAAGTAGCTGAGGAAGAGTGCCTCACTTTCCCTGTAGCTGCCACGTATTCTTGCCTCTCCTGAGGAAGCTTTTTATTCTATTTATTTATTTGGGGGGGGGCTACCGGGGATCGAACTTGGGTCCTTGCAGTTGCAGGGCAGGCGGTGGAACCACTGAGCTAAATCCCCAGCCCAAGGAAGCTTTTAAATCTGATCTTGTAACTAAGAAATGCAGTAGAGGGGCCAGGTGTATCTGAGTACAACTGCTCCAGAAAATCCTGTAAGTTCCTCCCAGCAGGAAGGCAGAGCCCAAAGGAAGAGGTAGAAAGGGGATAGGACAGTGAGAAATTCTGGGACTCTTCCTAGCCAGGCACAGTGACACACACCTGTAATCCCAGCACTCTAGGAGGCTGAAGCAGGAAGATCACAAATTGGAGCCCAACATGGGCAAGTTAGTCAATTATCAAGACACTCAGAATAATAGTTGGGGATATAGCTCAGTACAAAGACCCTGAGTTTAACCCCAGTGCCACCCCCCTCAAAAGAAAAAACTCATGTAGGGAAGAAGTCCTCTGTAGTCTGAAAGGGCCTGGCTGGGACAATCAGTAGATAGATGCCTAAGATAAAGGCAGAAATAATTGCTGATTGCTGAGACTAATACTGTGTGGGCTTTGTCTCATCAGTGATCAATGAGCTGGATGGCCTGGCCAAGGGGCAGGAGACAGACCACCGGGCTGGGGGCTATGCCCGTGTGGTCCAAGAAAAGGCCCGGAAATCCATCGAGTTCCTTGAGCGACGATTCGAGAGTCGGGACTCTTGCCTGCGGGCCCTCACTAGCCGGGGCAATGAACTTGAATCCATCGCCTTCCGCAGTGAGGACATCACTGGCCAGCTGGTGAGACCCCAGCAGGAAAGGAAAACCCACAGTCAACTGTCAGAACGGGCTCTCCAGGAAGGAGAGTCTAAAGGAAACCCTGATGGTCTGGGATGCTGAGAGGGCAGCCACAATTAGGGCCCAGGACGGGGGAGGGCCTTGTCTCCTAGATCACATAGCACAGCTAGACCTGGCCAAGCAGGGCAGAGTATGCATGGGAGGGACCTGGGACATGGTCCTGGAAGTACACTTCTGCCTCCTCCACATGGCGCCCCCTCCTGCCCAGTATGCTTCTCACACTGTCTTCCTCCAGGGTAACAATGATGACCTGATCCTCTCCTGTTGCCTCCACTACTGCAAAGACAAAGCTAAGGACTTCATGCCCACCAGCAAAGGTACAGCATGGCTTCTGCCTCAGATTTTGCATCCCTTACCCATCATTGTACCCATCCTCAGCCCCTGAGAAGGGTCCCTCTGCTCACTGACCTGGAAGAACCATGCAAACCTAAGCCAGCCCATTTCCTGCCCTTCCAGAAGTCAGACCTCCCGGTCGCAGCTCCCTCATCCCCAGGGAATGTCAGGTGGATCCTGGGCCAACTAGGGATGAGCCTAGCCCAGGAAGCCCAGCTCTAAGCAGCGAGCTTTCCCATTGGTCTGCAACTACTTTTGGGGGGAGGGGGGCATTACTTTTTTTTTCTGAGTTCCCTCTGACAGCAAGAATATCATGTAGTTCAGTGTAGCTGTTCTGGCTGTGGTCGCCTGAGCCCAGCCCTCTGCACCTCTGAAGAGCACAGCCCCCAGTGGGCACACTCCCTTTTCTTGGCCATGCTCATCTTCTTAGAATGTTTACCCTCTATCTGGGCTGGGGCCAAAGTACTTCCTCAGCAAGGATTAGCCTTTCTCCCTGGTCTCTATGATCATGAGCTGTAGCACTTTGCAGGCTGGCTAGAGTTGGGAGGTAGGTGAGAACTTACAGCTGAGCCCGTAGCCCAGTTTTCAGGAATTCTTTGGTGAGCAGTTTCATCTTTGGGCCAGAGGCCCACCCTAGGGCTCTCTTCCAAGTGCCTGACCACCTCACCCTTGACCCTGAGCTTCCTTCCTGCACAGCCCCGCAGGGTCAGTGACATTCAGGGGTTTTCTGCTCCTGGCTCCAGATTTCAACATTTCTTCTTTTGGAAGGGATTCCTAGCACCTCCTAGCTCATTGTCATCTGCAGAGCTGGTAATTCTCACCATTTGGTTTCTGTCTACATTTATGTAGTCTCCTCATTTTTTTCCCGTCTCTGTCACCCGTCTATCTTCTCTGTTCATTCTCCGAGCCCTGGCTTTTGCACTGCTCTAGGGATTGTCTTCTCTCCTCCCTCTCCTCCCGCCCATGTTAGTGCAGCCCTCATTCCTCTCTGAGTCTCCATACCA